TGATAATGGATCACATCATACACACTGCCAATGACTAGCCTATTTTGAAATGCGAAAACTTCCTTAAATTGCAATACAGAACCATTATCAGGCCTTATACAATGCTAGGTGTTTAGAAAAATAAATTGGATTTTTCTAAAACACCAGTACCTATTTCTACAGGAAAGATGCCTAATTAAGCGTCTATCCTGTACAAATAAACACCGGTGCTTAAAGAAAGACTAGTTTATTTCTCTAAGCACCTCCCCTAAGCGTCTTGCATTGTACAAGGCCTCAAATAGCTGAAACTAACAAGTATAAGTATTGACAATGGCTGTTCGAGAGAAAAAAAAGGTATCGATGTTATGACCGGCTTGGTCTATACTAGGAAGAGGCCCACCGAGCATTAGTATTAGGGGCTTGGCTCACAAGTTATCTTAGGTTAAAGTTATAAATACTAGTTCTAAGACACCGTTGAGATCAAGCAATAAAGATATTATAATCTTCTGTTGCCCGACTCCCTGACGGGGCGGCCGCCAGCCCAGTCGACCAGCGCCGACTCCTCCAGCACCGGGCCGGCCTCCTCCAGCCGTGACGACCACGCCCCCGACCACCACGCGGACTTTCCGCCGGTTGTCACCGGCCGAGCAGCAGGAGCGTCGCCGTCAGGGACTCTGCTTCAACTGCGATGAGCCCTACACGCCGACCCATGTCTGCCCCCGCCTCTTTTACTTGGAGACGGTCGACTACACCGAGGCAGACGACTCGACCGATGCGACACCACCACCCGAGGCGGCCGCGGACACGCCCGCGGATCCCACGGCGACGGCGTGCGCCGTCTTCCTCCACGCCCTCGCCGGCATCCGTGGCGAGCGGACCATGCTGCTGCCGGTGATGATCCATGGCGAGCGACTGGTGGCCCTGCTGGATACTGGCTCCACCCATAACTTCTTGCCTGAGGCGACCATGCGTCGGCTAGCCCTTCCGACGACGGGCGGGGAGCGCCTGCGGATCACGGTGGCGAACGGCGATCGCCTCCGGTGTCATGGGCTCGCCCGTGACGTTCCCATCTCCATTGGTGGCGAACACTTCTCCATTACATGTGTAGGGATCGACCTCGGCTGCTTCGACCTCATCCTCGGGGTGGATTTTCTACGGACCCTCGGTCCCATCCTATGAGACTTCGACGCGCTCACGATGACGTTATGGCGGCTGGGCCGCCGCGTCCGGTGGGACGGCCTTGGGGGCGCTGCGCCGGCCGTGCCCCATCTCCAGCTGGTCGCCGCGTCCTCGAAGGCCGAGCAACCCCTGCTGGATTCCCTTCTGCAGCAGCACAGCAACCTCTTCGACGAGCCACGGGGTCTTCCGCCCGCCCGGGTGTACGACCATCATATCCACCTCATGCCGGGTACCCCTCCTGTGGCGGTTCGGCCCTACCGCTACCCTCAGCTGCAGAAGGATGAGTTGGAGCGCCAGTGTGCCCTGATGCTCGCCGCGGGCATCATCCGGATCTCCACGTCACCCTTCACCGCCCCGGTGCTGCTCGTCCGCAAGTCGGACGACACTTGGCGTTTCTGCATCGACTACCGCGCCCTGAACGCGCTCACGCTCAAGGACAAGTTCCCTATACCAGTGGTCGAGAGCTCTTGGATGAGCTCCATGGGGCGCGCTTCTTCACCAAGCTCGATCTCCGGTCAGGCTATCATCAGGTGCGTATGCATCCAGACGACATCACCAAGACGGCGTTTCGCACCCACCATGGCCATTTCGAGTTCTTGGTGATGCCCTTCGGCCTCGCCAACGCCCCAGCGACTTTCCAGGCCCTGATGAACGACGTCCTCCGGCCCTACTTACGGCGGTTTGTGCTTGTTTTCTTTGATGACATTCTTATCTACAGCACCACCTGGGCTGAGCACCTCCAGCACGTCGCCATCGTCTTCAACGAGCTTCGGGCGCACCACCTCCACCTTAAGCGCTCGAAGTGCTCGTTCGGGACACCTACCGTCGCCTACCTCGCCCATGTCATCTCTGCCGACGGGGTGGCTATGGACGCCGACAAGGTGGCGGCCGTCTCCGCATGGCCGACACCTCGCTCGCCGCGGGCTCTCCGCGGGTTCCTTGGCCTCGCCGGCTACTACCGGAAATTTATCCGGGAGTTCGGGCTCATCGCGGCGCCCCTCACGCGGTTGCTTCGCCGCGACGCTTTCGCTTGGGACGACGACGGCGTTCGAGGCCCTCAAGGGGGCCCTCACGACGGGCCCCGTCCTCCAGATGCCCGACTTCGACCGCCCGTTCGTGGTGGACTGTGACGCCTCGGGCGCTGGTTTCGGCGCCGTGCTTCATCAGGGCGATGGACCCCTCGCCTTCTTCAGCCGGCCTTTCGCTCCTCGCCATCTCAAGTTGGCGGCATACGAGCGGGAGCTCATTGGCCTTGTGCAGGCCGTTCGTCATTGGCGGCCGTACTTGTGGGGACGGTCCTTCCACATTCGCACAGACCACTACAGCCTGAAGTTCTTGCTGGACCAATGGCTGTCGACCGTGCCACAACACCAGTGGATCAGCAAGCTCTTCGGCTTCGACTTCTCCGTCGAGTATCGGCCGGGCCGCCTTAACACCGTGGCCGACGCGCTGTCCCGTCGTGACTCCGACATCGCCTCCGTCGACGAGTCCGCCGGGGCGGTCCTGTGCATCCGCTCCGGGCCGACGTTCGGTCTCTTCGCCGACATCCGCCGCGCAACTGCGACGGCCGACGACGCCGTCCTTCTTCGGCAGCAGCTCATGGCCGGCGACCTGGAGGAGCCGTGGCGCTTCTCTGACGGACTGCTTCTCCATGGGCGCCGGATCTTTGTTCCAGCGCATGATGATCTCCGTCACCAGGTGTTACAGCTCGCCCACTCGGCAGGTCATGAGGGTGTGCAGAAAACCCTCCATCGTCTTCGCGCCGACTTCTACATCCCTGGCGATCGCGCCCTGGTCCGCGACTGGGTTCGGTCTTGTCAGACATGCCAGCGCAACAAGACGGAGACCCTACGGCCGGCTGGGTTACTTCAGCCCTTGGAGGTGCCGTCTCAGGTCTGGGCGGATATCTCCATGGACTTCATCGAGGGCCTCCCCAAGGTGGGCGGCAAGTCGGTCATCCTCACGGTGGTCGACCGCTTCTCCAAGTACGCCCACTTCATCGCGCTCGGCCATCCGTACACGGCGGCGTCCGTGGCCCGGGCCTTCTTCGACGACATTGTCCGTCTACACGGGTTCCTTGCTTCGATCGTCAGTGATCGGGACCCAGTGTTCACGGGCCATGTCTGGCGCGACCTCTTCAGGATGGCGTGTGTCCAGCTCCGCCTGAGTACGGCGTTCCATCCTCAGACAGACGGTCAGTCCGAGGTGGTTAACAAGGTCATTGCCATGTATTTGCGTTGTGTGACAGGTGATCGGCCTCGCGCTTGGGTGGACTGGCTCTCTTGGGCGGAGTACTGCTACAACACCTCGTATCACTTCGCCCTGCGCGCTACGCCGTTTAAGGTGGTCTATGGTCGACCACCCCCGCCTATACTACCCGTGGACCCGGAGACGGCTCGGACAGCGGTTGCAGGTGACCTTATCCGCACCCGCGACGAGATGCTTGCTGAGGTCCGTCAGCGTCTCCTTCAGGCCCAGCAGCTGGCCAAGCATTACTACGACGATCATCACCGCGAGGCGGAGTTCGCGGTGGGTGACTGGGTGTGGCTGCGTCTTCTCCACCGCTCTACGCAGTTGCTTGACCCGCACGCCAAGCGCAAGCTCGGGCCTCGCTACGCCGGGCCCTTCCCTATCTTGGAGCGCATTGGGAAGGTGGCCTATCGCCTTCAGCTTCCAGCCCGCGCTCGCATCCACGACGTCTTCCATGTGGGGCTGCTCAAGCCTTTTCGTGGCGAGCCACCGGCGGCTCCTCCGGCGCTTCCGCCAACCGCCGATGGTCGCATTCTTCCAGAGCCAACAAAGGTGTTGCAGGCACAACTCCGTCGTGGCGTCTGGTTCGTCCTCGTTCAGTGGGCGGGCCTTCCGGAGGAGGAGGCTACTTGGGAGCAGCGTGAGGATTTTCGCCAACACTATCCAGACTTTCAGCTCGAGGACGAGCTGTTTGCGCAGGCGGGGAGAGATGTTATGACCGGCTTGGTCTATACTAGGAAGAGGCCCACCAGGCATTAGTATTAGGGGCTTGGCCCACAAGTTATCTTAGGCTAAAGTTATAAATACTAGTTGTAAGACACCGTTGAGATCAAGCAATAAAGATATTATAATCTTCTGTTGCCCGGCTCCCTGAGGAGCCGGAACCCTAGCCGCCGCCTCTAACCCTAGCCGCGACGGCGCCTGTCCGCCGGCGCGCCCGCTCCAGCCCTCGTCCCCCTCCTCCTTGCCCATACAATCTGCGCCGGAGGCCTGGTAGGAACCCTAGTCCTACCAATCGATGACGGCAAGTTTGCGTAGGAAATAAATATGTCATGTCCAAATATAGTAAAAAGACAACGCAGGTCTTATCTAATTTGTGACATTACGCACTCTTCAAGATCTAATTCAATAATCTCTTACACTAAGAAATGGCCCGTTAGTGTTATGTAATTATAGAGAATCATAATGTTACTCTGATGACAGCAACAATGCTCTTTTCACAAGATTACGTATCTGAGCAAGGCAAAAATATTTTATGGAAAGAGATATAGTGCAGAGCTATGGTCTCACTTGTCTTATTTGTTCACCATGTTATCAGCGATCATCTTTTCCTTGGTATCAATGCGTAACCGGACACTTCCAACCTGGTTCATTTGGCTCTCGTAGTACCTTTTCCTCTTCAAGCACTGCATTGCTGCTTGCTTGTTTCCTGATTTTGTGAACAACTTGGCACGTTCCATCTCTTGTGATATCTTCTTTTGCAAGACTGCCTCTTTTGCCACAAAGACATCACGAGCCTAGAGTATAGTGTAGGTAATCAAGTCAGTAGGTAAGAAACATGATATGCTAATCGAGTTAGCAACAACAGTCCTGCATATCATACAACCTTTAAACTCAGTTAAATACTGTCGAATTTGTGATTAGCCCAAGAGGACAAAAAAATGAGAAGGAAAATAGCTGCCAGGGAAACTCCAAATTGTTGCGTTCTAAATAAGTAACCACAAGTGCAGAAGTTTGCTCTAACTAAGTTCCCTATTTCTAGAGACTGAAAGAGAAAAGGAAAACAACTTATTTATGTAACTCAAAAAGGGAGGAGAAAATAATTTGGAAGAAGCCTTGTCCCAACCATGGGAAACCCTACAACTGTATTGAGGTGCCTGCATGGTATGCATTGTTTATACTGCAGAATAACCCTGTGTTCCTTTTCTTAATGTTTTTACTTGAACATGCAACTATGCAAGATTTTTTTACTTGAATAACCCTACAGCTTTAGTTTCTTCACATCTGCCCTGTGATTTCCCATCACCGCAGAAGCACTCCAAAGTTTCCTTTTTTAGGTTCCAAAGTCAATTAGAAATAAGATCACGATGACGTGCCAATTCCCCAAGTCGGTATCAGGATATGCAATGACGGCGATGCCTCACTGGTTTTGCACTAGGTTAGCAATGTAGCCAATCTTCATCCCTTCCAAACAGGGTGCTGGATCAAACATGACAAGTCTTCTTCGCTTAAATAGTCAAACAGAACAGGAGGAAAGCACCCACATTTGATCAACAAAAAGAAGAAAATGACAAACAAAACAACAACGTTCACACACGCTGCGTCCTCCCCACCTACTGACCACTGTACTTCCACGCCATGTCAACAGAGAGGCCTCGAGATGGACTAGATTCACACCCAGAGAAAATGCACATCATCTGAGACATTGTTGAGTCCTCTAAGTTAGCAAATCTAGACCTTCCACAGCTTGATATGCCTCGATCCCGCAACAAGTCTAAGATGAGAACCAAAACAAAGCCAATCCGCTGCCAGTTTACATGGGTTGCTCCACATTCAAAACCAAAAAAGAGCAGGAAATCAGAAAAGAAAAATTCTGTGCCCCATCAATCTATGGGGAAATATGCACAACCAGCGAACTCTTCCGCACAGGAGAAAAATAATCACAGATTGATGCGTTTTCGCTAACAGGCATGATACAGTCCACCTGCCAATTTCGAATTGTTGGGAATAAGGAGAGGGATTCGGTGGTCAGACCTGCTTGAGCTGGTCAGTGGCGGAGCACTCGTCGCGGCAGCCACGGAGGATCCACGACAACATCGCGGATGCGGTGGTTCTACCCTGTCAGCGGCGGCGGCAGCGGCTACTCGGAGGAAAGGTAAAAACGCCTTCCGAAAATGAAAATGAAAATGATAAAGCGGCAGTTTTTTTGACGGAGTATTATTTTATTAGGTATACAAAAAGCGGCGGTGGCAACGGCGACGGGGTATTATTTTTGGATATGGACTCAACGGGCCACTTTGTATGGGCCTTCGAACCTTGGCGCCTTCCCCAAAAAAGCTTGTATTTTTATTTTTTACAAAAAAGATATCCGAAAGCATCTTAAAATCTCTATCTCTATTTTCTTCTTCTTACACTTAGATTGCAAAAAGAATAGTGTTGGAAATATGAGCAATTTATCAAATGATTTTATTAGCAGAAATATTAGATAAAGCATGACTAATATAACAGTGACAAAACAAGCCATGCGATTTGACAAAGAGAAGGTAAACAACATCTTCATATATGAACTGTAACTGAACATATATAGAGCAGCCAGTATAGCAAGTTGCATATATGAAATAGAGTCTAACATATGTAGGGCAAATACTAGAACAAGGAACTGCAGCAGGACCTCTAACAGAAAGGAGAAGAACACGTACGGGACAGCAGCAGCAGAAGCGCTGGACTTGGCGTCGGTGTCCTCGCCTGTCATGTCGTCGAGGAGGTCGTGGACGTCGGGGAAGAAGTCGTCGCCGGGAAAGTAGTCGTCGGAGTCCGTGATGAAGAAGCTAGTAGTCGCGCGGAGCGCTCCCAAAAAACCTTATCACCCTTCTCCCGTACATGACTCAAAAGGTGCGGTTCCGGAGGCCTACTGTCCCGACCTGCGGTGCACGCCGCAAGACAGGATGGGGAAGAATGTAGCAGCAGCGCAGTGGGCGGAACTTTGTGGCGAGAGGAAGAGGAGCTTCTGTTGTGTCTCTCTGGAGAGGAGCGACCTCTCTTATATAGGCACATGAGAAGGACGCGAAGAGGCTGCGGCGGGAGGTGAAGCAACGAAGGGAGACGAAGCGAACAGGCAGCGGCCGAAGAGGTGCGCCGTCCGAATTTAGTGTCCAGTAGACATCGGCTCGGCTCATTCCCACAACCCGCGGCGCGTCGTGACGAGGCGTGGCGTGGCGAGGCGGGCGGCGGAGGAGGAGCGCGCGTGGATGTCCCTCTTATTCTCATGCTCATACATGTGGGGAAAGAACCTCCCTTATAAAGAGGTCCAACTCCCTCTAAACAAGCAATGTGGGACTAAACTTTTGTTCCACCTCTTGCCTTGCACGAATGGGCTGCGTGGGCCTCTAGGATTTATTAGAAATTTCTGAAACTGCTATTGGGCTAGGCCCAAAATAGACAAAATTCCAGCAATCCCCCACCAGATCCCAGAGGCACACAAAATTTGCATTTGGTTCCAAAACACTGTTTTATATACCGGTACTACAGTGGAGACTGTTAAGTTGAACTTCCACCTAGAACTCTATGCTACACTAGTAAGCAAGTTGAACAGTGGATTGGGCCTTGAACTGCAAGTTTTCTGCGAATCTAGCTTCACATAAAGCCTTGACCGATACGTGGCTACCGTGGGTCTTCCCCGCGGGTGGAGCTTATGCGTCATACTCCGTGACCTTTCATGAGTTTACTAGAGAGAACCCTACTCTCATAGATTGCGACGTTTGACAATCAGACTCATATAGGTGTGTTCTTCAAAAGATGTTCTGCAGGATAACATCTCTGCTTAAATAAGCCACTTAGAACACATTAAGATATACATCAACCTGCCATGCAGATTAGGAGAGTATTGCATCTTCATGGAGTGGTATTGTGAATAGTAAGGATACTCTCCTCTCAGTTGACCAACAACTTGTCTTCCACATCTAATTCACGGGATCTCCGATCACAAAGAATAGGTTACCACTGTGAACAACTCATATTATGGGTCTCATACCCATCTCCCTCGATGCATTATCTATCACATTACGTGATAGATCCTTAGTAAAAGGATCTTCCAGATTCTTAGACGTTTGGATATAATCCAATGCAATAACTCCGGAGTTTCTCATTTTCCTGACAGACTTTAACCTTCTCTGAACGTGTCTTGATGACTTCATGTTGTCCTTTGAGCTGCTCACTTTCGTGATCACAGTTTGATTGTCGTAGTTCATAAGGACACCCGGTATAGGTTTCTCAACAACCGGCAAGTCATTCAAGAGCCGACGAAGCCCATCTGCTTCGACCGTAGCTGTATCTAGTGCTGTGAGTTCTGCTTCCATTGTTGACCTTGTTAAGATGGTCTGCTTGCAAGACTTCCAAGAAACAGCGCCACCTCCATGAGTGAATACATAACCGCTCGTGGCCTTTATCTCATCAGCATCTGAGATCCAGTTTGAGTCACTATACCCTTCAAGCACCTTTGGATGCCCGGTGTAGTGAATTTCATAATTTGCAGTGCCTTTCAAGTAACGCAAAACTCTCTCTAGAGCTTTCCAATGCACATCTCCTGGTTTTGAGACAAACCGACCCAGTTTGCTAACATCAGAAGAGATGTCAGGTCTTGTAGCACTTGCTAAGTACATAGCGAGCCAATAATATGAGAATATTTCAATTGATCTCTAGCAATTCTTTGATTCTTTCGAAGTAACACACTCGCATCATATGGTGTTGGAGAGGGCTTGCAGTCACTATAGCCAAAGCGACTCAAGATCTTTTCCACATAGTGAGATTGAAGCAATGTAATCCCACCATCATCGTCTCTCAACAACTTGTTGTTCAGAATGACATCAGCCACTCCTAAATCCTTCATATCAAAACAATGAGATAGGAAATCCTTGACCTCCTTAATAACATTCAGATTTGTTCCAAAAATCAGTATGTCATCAACATACAAGCACAGAATAACTCCCTCGCCCCCACCATGGTGATAGTACACACATTTGTCAGCTTCGTTCACAACAAAGCCTACAGCTGTTAAAGTTCTTTCAAACTTCTCATGCCACTGTTTGGGTGGTTGCTTAAGTCCGTACAAAGACTTTAGCAACTTGCACACTTTCCCTTCCTGACCATCTAGTACAAACCCATCTGGTTGTTCCATATAAATTTCCTCGTCCAACTCTCCATTTAGGAAAGCAGTCTTAACATCCATTTGATGAACGAGAAGACCATGCGAGGCAGCTAGTGAAAGTAGAACTCGAATAGGGGTCAGTCGAGCCACAGGTGAGTAAGTATCAAAGAAGTCTTTGAAGGAAATATGCCCTAGAGGCAATAATAAAGTTATTATTTATTTCCTTATACCATGATAAATGTTTATTATTCATGCTAGAATTGTATTAACCGGAAACATAATACATGTGTGAATATATAGACAAACAGAGTGTCACTAGTATGCCTCTACTTGACTAGCTCGTTAATCAAAGATGGTTATGTTTCCTAACCATGGACAAAGAGTTGTTATTTGATTAACGGGATCACATCATTAGGTGAATGATCTGATTGACATGACCCATTCCATTAGCTTAGCACCCGATCGTTTAGTATGTTGCTATTGCTTTCTTCATGACTTATACATGTTCCTATGACTATGAGATTATGCAACTCCCGTTTGCCGGAGGAACACTTTGTGTGCTACCAAACGTCACAACGTAACTGGGTGATTATAAAGGAGCTCTACAGGTGTCTCCAAAGGTACATGTTGGGTTGGCGTATTTCGAGATTAGGATTTGTCACTCCGATTGTCGGAGAGGTATCTCTGGGCCCTCTCGGTAATGCACATCACATAAGCCTTGCAAGCATTGCAACTAATGAGTTAGTTGTGAGATGATGTATTACGGAACGAGTAAAGAGACTTGCCGGTAATGAGATTGAACTAGGTATTGGATACCGACGATCGAATCTCGGGCAAGTAACATACTGATGACAAAGGGAACAACGTATGTTGTTATGCGGTCTGACCGATAAAGATCTTCATAGAATATGTAGGAGCCAATATGAGCATACAGGTTCCGCTATTGATTATTGACCGAAGACATGTCTCGGTCATGTCTACATTGTTCTCGAACCGTAGGGTCCGCACGCTTAAGGTTTCGATGATAGTTATATTATGAGTTTATGAGTTTTGCTGTACCGAAGGAGTTCGGAGTCCCGAATGAGATCGGAGACATGACGAGGAGTCTCGAAATGGTCGAGACGTAAAGATCGATATATTGGACAACTATATTCGGACATCGGAAAGGTTCCGAGTGATTCGGGTATTTTTCGGAGTACCGGGTAGTTACGGGAGAAGCAATGGGCCTTGATGGGCTTTAGTGGGAAGAGGAGAAAGGGCCAAGGGGCTTCTGCGCCCCCCTCCCCTCTGGTCCGAATTGGACTAGGGAAAAGGGGCTGGCCACCTTTCCTTCTCCTCCACTTCCTTCTCCCTTCCTCCCCTCTTGGTGGACTCCTACTAGGACTTGGAGTCCTAGTAGGACTCCACATCCTGGCCGCACCAATTGCCTTGGCCGGCCTCCTCCTCCTCCATCCTTTATATACTGAGTCAAGGGGCACCCCATGAACACAAGTTGATCTTCGTGATCGTTCCTTAGCCGTGTGCGGTGCCCCCCTCCACCATATTCCACCTCGGTCATATTGTAGCGGTGCTTAGGCGAAGCCCTGCAACGGTAGAACATCAAGATCGTCACCACGCCATTGTGCTGACGGAACTCCTCCCCGACGCTTTGCTGGAACGGAGCCCGGGGATCATCATCGAGCTGAACGTGTGCCAAGAACTCGGAGGTGCCGGAGTAACGATGCTTGGATCGGTCGGATCGTGAAGACGTATGACTACATCAACCGCGTTGTCACAACGCTTCCGCTGTCGGTCTACAAGGGTACGCAGATCACACTCTCCCCTCTCGTTGCTATGCATCACCATGATCTTGCGTGTGCGTAGGAATTTTTTTGAAATTACGACGTTTCCCAACAGTGGCATCCGAGCCTAGGTTTTATGTGTTGATGTTATATGCACGAGTAGAACACAAGTG